AGGGACCAACCATCCCACCATTGTGATATCATCGTCGTGATGATCCTGAAACTTCTGCCGCAAGCTGGCTGTGATCCACCAGTGACATGCATGGAGTGCATGGTGTGCCGCAGATTTTTCCGCACTGCACCGATCGCTATGGAATGACCACCTTTGAAGGACCAGATATGTGGGATCAGGGCCCAAAAACTCATAGGGGCTTTAATACGAAAGTGGTTTTGTTTTGGATGATGCCAGGGGGTACCCCCCAAATTTTAATTATTGACGAGATATTCAAATGGTTGAATGACCACAGCAACCCTCATTGTAGTATTGGTTCCTATAGGTCTGAACCGAGTCCATGATATCTTAAAATGGGGCATTTAGGTTCACCTGTCAAGCTCCTGGTAGCGCTTGGCCATATAGTACAGTTTAAGCCCTATTTTTATAGATCTGGTTATCAACCGGCTTATAACTTACTGTATAACTTATACCTGGTAAATTGCCATAACTGTAGGTTGTTCTGTTTCCAACGTTGCTTTGGCTCATGTTCTGGGCAGCGGTTGGGGCACAAGTGCAAGATACTCAGGGACTCGTCAGGACATTTGTCCAGGGATGTGGTCAAAACTGGGCATTCAGAAATGCGGACTGGGAATATCCACCAAACAAAAGTGGAAATAGGGACATTGTGGAAATAGGGACATTCTGTGTGTTACCCTCTGGTAATTTAACATATCTATATACTTGTATTGAAAATTGCCCATTTATATTTGATTTACCGAACTTAAAGATGGTGATTTTCCAGCTATCTTAGTTTACCAGAGGGTATGCAGCCATTGGTGGATGGACGTCCATTGGTCTGTAGGGATCCGAAGAAGGGACAGTACTGCACAGCATAGTTTTCTCAGTTTCGTAGTGGTTTAAGACTCCGTCAGACGTTGGCATTGAACCCTAAGTATTCATTTGGGTTTGCCACTCTGACTTAATAGATTTCCGCTTTCAGAGGTTTCTATCAGCATTTGTCGAAACCTAATTATTGGAAGATCGTGCCAAATTCCCAGGGATGTTTGTTAGGTCGTACTGGAGTCAGCGCACTCCAGAATTCTTGTTGCTTAGACCCCAGGTTTGTTGGCTCAGGGAAGCCAATGTTTTGACCACATGTTGAACATTAAACACAGTCTTGGAAGGCCAGGGCATGCCAGGGCTATCGAACTATGCTTTGGGAACCAGGTAAAGATCTGGTTGCAAACCTGGGTCGTACTTGAGCCTGGGTCGTAGCAGTTCAACTGGTCACTGGGGCAGAAACATGAGTTTTTCGCGCAATTCCCGAAACCGCAACGGGTGGTAGGAGTTTAATCTTTGATAGGGGGGAGTTAGCATGAAAAATAAGGACTCAACCATGAATTATAGGGATTTACTATGAAAAATGAGGACACCATTATGGGAAATTATCCTTGGCTATACTGTCCCCGGTACTCAAACATGGCTAGCTGGGAAATCTGCGAACTGAATGAAGGTTCAAATCTACAAGGTGGGGCTCTCCAGTTACAAGTTGGTTTATAAGCCCGTCTCACTAGTTCGACGTATCCCCTGTAAAACCCAAACGTTCTGGTAGTTTTTTGCGCCAAGTTACGCTATCATAAATCGGCTATCTGGTGGTTTGGAACATTTTTTTCCATATATTGGGAATAATCATCCCAATTGACTAATATGTTTCAGAGGGGTAGGTCAACCACCAACTAGACCACAACTTTTCTTGGCGAATTCACCATTTTCCGGGTGTCGTGGGGGCGCCGGGGGTGCCGCAAGCCATGTTTGGTTTCCATTTCCCTGTTGAAGTTCGCTCCAGGTGGTGTTTAACCGTTGAAATCGCGTTCAGTTGGTGCCAAGAAAAATAACTCTGGTTTCACTACTGTATAATGGTTATGAATCTTTATGAGTACATGTATATATATATATTATAAATAGAATTCTAAAGCTAATGGGGGGTTATAAACCAACCTATTACCTGGGGGGTGACCACAGTGATGCTTTTCCTGCTTGTTTAATTTGTGGGAGTGTGTTACCGCAAGTATTGACCCATTACGCGATAGCATAGTGGGAAGTGCAGTGCAGTTGGAAGTGCAGTGCAGGTAGAAGTTGCGTTTAATAATCGTATTATGAGTCGGTTGAACTACGGTTATAACCTCTTACTAAATGGGATAAGCCACCAAGTATAAATCAAGTTAGCCTTTTTCCGCCTGTCCATTGTGAGCGAGGTTCTACCTGCAATGACAACTGGATGATCACTATAATCCTTCTACTAAAGTAGATAAGATGCATGAACAAAGCTTACTAAAATAGGAATGTGCTTGAAGATTCAGTAGTTTTTCTTCTCCCGGATGACTATACTATATGTGAATATAGTTGATTGATGTTGATTGTATATACCCAACTACGGTACACCTTGCAAAACCGCCGCTCGGGAAAGTTAGATGGCGGCTTTCCGCCAGGTGTATAAGGACGTGACCTTTTTCATCTTGCAGATGTCACTCATTTCTATCTAAAGACATCTAAAGACAATGCCTGGACAGGTATGGTGACTTCGAACTAGCCTAATTAGCATATTTATGCTCTGGTTGGTGGTTTGGAACATTTTTTCCCATTCAGTTGGGAATATCATCATCCCAACTGACTTTCATATTTTTCAGAGTAGGTATACCACCAGTTATGCTGGACATATTTCCAGTTCTGTAAAGGTCAGTAAAAATAGCACCAATTCATACCATCTTCGGCCCCGTTTGATGGCCAATGAGATGGGAACTGAGGGCTTTTTTGTTCCGTTGGAGATTCGACACGGAGATTTGATCGAAAACCAGTACTGCTTGGTGATTTCAAACATTGGTTAATCTATGGTTAATAATGGTTAATAATGGTTAATAATTGGAACAACAATATATCTGCTTGGTGGTTTCAAACATGACTGGATGATGTTTCATTTCATATATGGGATGTCATCCGAAACCCATTGACGAACTTCATCATTTTTCAAGATGGTTAAAACTTTAAAACCACCAAGCAGAGTACTCTTGATGATGAATCTGATGAATCCATGTCTTCTGAGTTTCCACTCTTCATCCAAATCAATATGTTGAAGAAATTCTACGATGGCGGGAGGGTCATAAGTTGGCCCTAATGCCTGATCGAACTATAGATGTAGCCAACATAATTTATATAATTTCTGGTGTCTAAGGCATGAAGTTGTTATGAACCAATGGAAACCTATATCATAGATCACATAGATCCTAACTTGTGTTGGTTACATCCGAATTCTTACAGGTTCAATCTTACCTATCTTTTGTTTTCCAAAAAAATACATGTATCCATTTGCTTCCTTTGCGCCGTCCATGGGTGCCAGCTGCTCGATATTTCAGGCGCGATTTGGGCCCCTTGGTAGGGAAGTTGGTCTACAACTTCTGTCCCCAACGACACATATTTTTCAAGTGGTGTCTTTTGGAGCGTGAGAAGGAGAATTTACAGGACACCACATTTAGGTTTTTTCCCCATCAGGTGTGGAAATGTCCTATATATATATATGTATAAATTATAATATATAAATATATATAGATGTATATAATTATATATATACATATATATATAGTTACAGTCACCGACAGAATTATGGAAAAAAAAAACGTTTCAATTTACAGGCGCCGCCTGTCTATGATAGAAAAGTTACGAACCTTTTTTTTTCTCCATAATTATTGTTTCCATAATTATTTTTTTCCATAATTCTGTCGGTGACTGTATGTCCATCGATTCGCAATTTGAATGTATTTTAAGGAGGAATATTGAATTATAGAAAATATGTGTCTAAAGATCTGGTATATGCCCCTACGTCTTCCATTGATATACATAATATCATGTGATGTTCGCAATTTGAATGCATTTTAAGGTATGAAAATATGTGTCTAAAGATCTGGTATATGCCCCTAAAGCCTGCCATTGATATACATAATATCTGGATGTTTCCTTTTGCCAAGCCACCAATTGGCTTGATACTACATACTTGCATTTGCATACATATTTCCATAACCCCAAAAAAAAACGGGTTTGAATTGTGGATCCATGACATGTCCAACAGGTGGAGCCCCAAACATTAATTATGGAAAAACTAATTATGGAAAAACCGGTCAATCTGCCCTAGCCCCCTGATTTCACAGGAAAAATCAATTATGGAAATAATGGCCACCTCCAAGAATTATGGAAAAAAAAAGGTTCGGATCACTTCCGGGATATTTTGAACCCTTATGGGGAAAAATCCAATTATGGAAAAATCGGACGCAGGCGCCGCCTGTCTAAGTTGAACGTTTTATTTTTTTCCATAATTCTGTCGGTGACCATATATATATATATATATATATATATTGTTTTTTTTGTTCAGCCAATCCAAGGACTATTGTATTCTTCCAATCCAGTTTCCAAGTTTCGGCATGGGCAATGCCATGCCAGGCGCGGATGATCCCGTGAAGGCGCGTTTGAATCACCATGGCCATCCAGATGGTTGTACTGTTTGAATTTGTTACCATTGGTACCATTGGTCATCTCTTATCATTATCAATCCTTCTCGCATCATTTTCATCTCCGAGTGACTTTCCACTGTCCGACTCTCCACTTTGACTTTCCATGGCGGCATCGCCCTCATCAAGCACCTTTCTAGATCCCAATTATTGCTGCTTCGATTTCCCTTTTTTTGCAAATCTTGGCTATAAACCATATTACACCATATTTCCCAAATAAGTCATATCCGCAAAGCATGTCTCTTTTAGAAAAGCCATGAAAACGTGACCTGATCTGACTCCTATGTTCCCCATTTTGGTGGTTTCCACTGGTTTACCTTGACTGCTTGGTGGTTTGGAACATTTCTTATGTTCCCATATATTATGGGAATAATCATCCCAACTGACGAACTCCATCATTTTTCAGAGGGGTAGGTCAACCACCAACCATCCTGGGCTTTCCGCTGTTTCCTCGGCTCCAGCGATGTTTCCTCGGGTCTTTCGCGTTTGCCTCGCCGCCACGTTGGGTGCACCGGGTGCCCTTGCGGCGAAGACACCAAGCAGCCTGGCCAGCGTGGCTGGGAGCTCAGTTGGTGCGTTTATCGCTCCAATTTCACTATATATATATATAGAGAGTTATATAGATAGATATAGATATCCCCGGCAATCGAGCGTATGTAACTATTTCTAACATTCACATATGTTGCTTTTATTTCCCTCCGTAGGCTCTCACGACCTCCGTAGTGTCTCAGAACCGACATTCATATATGACTTTTTTGTTTGAAGTCATATATGACTTTTTGTGCCTTCATGACATGCCCTTCAAACCCCACCACAACTGAACAATAGCATTTTTTTCTGGCAGCTGACCGGAGTGGCTCGTTGCTACGGCCTTGGGTATAACTTCCAAGTCGAATGAGCCATCGACCCAGAAGCCTTAATTCCAAAAGACGCCTATGTACCTTTCGTGCGATCTGCTTCACGGATCCAACTGCGTCTTCGTCTTGATACGTATGCCAAAAGCGGCAATTCAGCAAGGTGGCTTTCATCTCCAAATTGATCTCTTGAAAAGCCTGGAATGTTTTTTCAATTTCGGCACATCACACCCCTTTCCAGCACTAAACATGTACCCCAAAAAACAGACATTTGTTCAGGAAAATCATGACACAAATCCATCTAAACATCAACCAAGCCAAAGAGCGTGGTGCTTAGGCTTTGATGGCCAGTGCAGTTCGTTTTTTCTCTGAGCTTCTCGAACCAACTTGCGATATCGATTCAAAAACCTTACAGCATGATGCAGGAAGGATCAGAAACAATATAGATTGAAAAGATTTGGACAGGCACATGGGTACTGAGCTATATTAAAACTAACCTTAAGGGAAGCAAAACCTATATATATATATATATATATATGAACATCAATCTACAAGCCATCGATCACGCAAGAGCCATGGCCCTCAGAAAGCTGAATCGAGGCAGGGCACTGCAGTGAAGTGTCCCAGATGTCATCGGCTTGTTCTGGGGTCAGGTAGCGATCGGCCTGCTCAATCTTCGAAAACCAGAGACACATTGATGTGAGCACACCATGTATCATGAGAAGCTCTTGTTCAACAGCAATGCCCCCATCATGTCGTTCGGTGATCAGCTGGGCCACAATGCTCTGCAGGTAGCTAAGTAGTACCCTGCTAGCATATGCCTTTATTCGAAGTTCAGGAAATTCACCAGGTTTGACCAGCAGCAGGGCTGTGCAAATGGGAGGTTGGTAATGCCTTCAGGGAACTCAGCCAGTTCATTCAAAAAAAAGTTGATCTATATATACTAATTTATATAAACCTATGTGTTTTTGGTTCCCTTCAAGTTCTGAACAAAAACCCAAGCGGCACCTGATTTTGTGCAAACTGCACCATTTGTTGAATTCCCTGGTCATGGCAGATAGGTCATCAGCAAGTGAGTTGCTACCTGGGGGTTCGGCAGCAAGGGCATTAGTTTTGTTTGGGTCACCAACGCAAACCACAGTCTAGCTTATTAGCACCTTTTTGTTTGAAAAAAAACACTTTTGCCGTTCATGACTACACATGCAGCCAGGATACTGAAACATCCATATTTGTATTCACGAAGCTTGTGAATGGTGCTTCCGTTCAGCCATTGTACAATACCGAGATTGCATGTATGCATGCCTGCAGCCAAATCATGAGGACAAAAGAAAAACATATATTTGGCTGAACACTAAAAGGTTTGTGCTAAAGAAAACATATTCAAATTTAAGATGAATCAGTCGAGGGTGCTACATGCCTTCAGCCAGTAGGGATGGAATCCTGTGATCGCCTGACGTGCTGCTAAAGAAAACAAAAACTTAAAACATCAATGTTGCACCTGCAGTGTGGGGATGCATGTGGAATGTTTTCAGTATTATGTCATAGCCAGGGAACACAAAGTGGATTGACATAGTTTCCCAGGCAATGAAGGTAAAATTCTGCAACGCTGAAGCGAGGAAACTGCTCCATAGCCCCAAAGTTGGTGTACCTGCACTATTTAATGTTGTTTGTATGTGTGTTTCCCCAGACTGTTGGAATTCTGAAAAAATGAAACAACATCAACATAAAGCTTACTAATCTGTCTGGATACTGATTTGGGCCCGGTCTGGTTGAAGCTACACAACGATGGCACAGGGCTATGGCCTTGTAGTTCCTTCTAAGACCCCAAAGTTCAAGGTGCCATTTCCAATCCCCTCTGCACTCCACCATTGCAAATTTGAAGGGAAAATTCCCCTTGCCCCGGCACCAGGATTCACCATTTGGCCCCACTGTAGGCATCTTGCCAATGTAGCTCACCTGTTGCAGGTGGATGAAAGCTGCATGTCAAATCTCTGTCACCGCAGAGGAGTGGGTTTGGGGAAAACAAAGGCATCATGTTTTGGGGGGTAAAGAAAATTAATAAAGCTAAGGCTGAGAAGCATTGAAGCTCCAAGCAATCACCCTGAGAATGGGATCCATGGTTTGTTGTCCCAATGTCAGCTCATAGCGAAGTACGAAGAAGGGAAATCTTGAGAGATCAAGTCCTAGGGGGGTGACGTGTACATGTGGTGTCAATACATTTTCTTGGGGATTCTGCTACATATTTCTTTGAAGGACCAAAAAAACATACACATAAATAAGTTAAGGCACGCATTGTGTTCTGAACAACGAAATTCAATAGCATCACAATCACCTTTGCACCAGCCAGTGTGTATTTTGCATCATCCCCAAATATACCTATTGGAATGTGCTTCCCCTCCTCAGCAGCCGGGTGATGGAAAGGGACATGATCTCTCCAGTGCTTCCAAAATGAAGTTACATCGGCAGACTTCCAGGAGATCTTTCGATTTTCCTGAGCATGAAGGCCGATGTGTGGGAACAAGTGGCAAGGGAGAAGGGATGGCTACACATGAGTAGTGACACAATTTTGAAAGAAATAGATCCAAGTGGCAACAAGGTAGCACAACAATTCGTGAGGCATCACCATCGGAACCCTCATAGTCGTTGTGGCACCCTTCACATTGGAATTCAAATCCTTGATGGGTATCTCCACAAAGTGCAGAGCCTCATGCTAGCTAAAAGACAAGGTGGTGGAAAATGAAAGCCAATTGTTTCCCCACAAAACGATTTGAAATTATAATAAACTATATGTTTCATTAATCACCAGCCTAGTTAATTCTGGGGCTGACAGCAAAACCCTGTGCTAGCCAAAGCCAGGCTAAGGCCATATACATGATGGGAGGTCAAATGCGTATCATGCTGTGGGAGATCATGCTGATTGATTTTGCAAATCATACCGAATATTGTCAAAGCCAAGGTACAAGTGGGAGGTCAAGGGCTCTCACCAAATCCCGTTCCACATTTCCAGGGAACCTTCCCGAGCATCCGATACGGCTGATTTTCTTTGTTAGCTCGCTGCAAGCTCCATTGCTTTCCTGATCCATGCAAATGGTGGTTTGGAGAAAAGCATCTCAGCATCATGAAAGGGGAAGCAATTACGTGTGCATAATTAATATCAATCCAGATTGAAAGGGGCAATGGGATTTGCTTTACAATAATAAGGATGTAAGTTTAAAAGAGCTGAAAACTATTTAGAACTTGGAGGAACCTAAGCCACATGGTGTAACACAGGTGCCTAAGATATGATTTCGAAGTAGAAAGTTGTAGTGGCCGAAGTGTCTCACATGATTAATGGAGAGGGGGTAACCTAAACATCATGCAGAGGCAGCATGGGTTATGTGTTTTATGAACTAACCAGTATCAAACATATTTATAAAATTATAACATGATCTGGAGAGCTCCCCCAAATGAGTGGTAACCGATACATAATATACAACAAAAAAAACTTGGTTGAAAATGAGCTGAGCTATGGTTGGGCCCAGTAACTTGTTTGCCAAATGCTGTAATATATTATATATATAATTGAGCTGTAGCAACACACTAACTTGGAGCTGGGGCACCTTCACGCAGGCTTCGGCTGCCTTCTGGAGGTCCAAGACCGATGCAGCCTGGGCTTCTCAGATCTGGATTGTGGATGGTGTTGTGTTATGGGCTGTAATATGATGTAATCAACTTCATCCCTTCAAAGACAAAATTTTGGATTGTTATTATGATATATATATATATATATTGTTTAGATGTTCTTCATCATGCCACTCACATAGCATGCAACCATCCCCGCATGTTCACAATCCAAAACATGTTGCCACCAAGACACGCCACGACCAAGCGTCGACAGCAAGTGCTCAGCAAAGCTAGTATCTGCGCAGGGGGGTGAAGAATCATCAAGAGGGACTAACTTTTAAATTATTCTATTTCTATATAGGTTGTTGTGCTCATGTCATGCATGTGCTCCCATCAGAACCACAAAGTAGCACGGCACTGAGACCATGTTTTTGTCCTCGCCCATGGTGCATGTCCAGTGTCGATTGCTGGCTATGGGTCATCGCCCCGCAATAATGCAGCATGCATTGATTGCCTACCAAGTCCCGGGGATATAGGGCTACAGTGAGCTAAATTTTGATACGCAACATGATAACGAAAGTTGTGAGTATATATCTATATATAGGTGTAGTCTTTAAAAATAAGTTTCAACAATATAAACCAATAAATTGACTTCCAAAGGGCTCCCTGTTGATGCCCAACCCAGGTTCATGACCTATCCAACAGAAACACATGACCTAAGCACCGGATGGGATACTGTATTTCCACATCATCTTATTGGCCATGGTGGCCTTCATCATATCCAAAATCACATTCTCAGCAAGAATGCTAGTCAGTTGCCTCAGCCGCCTTTGGCAAAGCTTTGGCCTTGGCCTTAGGTTTCGGAACGAGACTTTTGACGCTGGCAGCTGCTGCCTTGTAGGCAGCCACAGCTTTCACCACATCCTGGGTTGGGCTCACAAGCTCTTCTCCTTCAGATCCACCAGCCAAGAAGCCCTCAGGGGTATTCTCAAACTTCTAGGGGGTGTTGTTGGATGTGTATGTGTCATGTTAGCGATGGATTTATTCTGGCATGAGTTGGGTTGATATAGATTAAACTGGAATAGGTCGGCCTCCAGTG